TGTCACTGTGCTGGTATGGGTATGGGGTAATAGGCAATCAACCATAAACCTTGCCAGTGTGAGTGTAAAGTTATACAGCCTCTGGAGGGTGATATCCACTAGAATTGTAAAAGAGCACATACTTTAGCCTAGCCATTCCATTAGTCACAATATCCACACATATAATCAGACACCAGACATGTGCAAACAGACCTATGAACAACACTATTAATTGTAGTGTTATTTACTATAGGAAAACATAGGCTGGGACATATAAAGAGGTCTAGAACCAAATGTTAGCCCTTAAGTATGGACTGCTGAGGGCATAGGTGGTCTTTAACAATCATCTGGGGAGCTATTAAAGTGCTGTTGCTCCAACCAAGTAAATCCGAATTTTTGGTGGGAGAGCCTGAACGTCAATAATTTTTTTTTTTTTAAGGAGAGAGAAAAATTTTTAATATTTATTCTTTAGTTTTTGTCGGACACAACATCTTTATTTGTATGTGGTGCTGAAGATTGAACCCAGCGCCGCGCGCATGCCAGGCAAACACGCTACCGCTTGAGCCACATCCCCAGCCCTGGACATCAATAATTTGTAAAGTTCTCCAGGTACAGCTAAAGTTGAAATCCATTGACTTAAACATTTTAACTACACCTGTTTTCATTTTTTTAAGAAGAAAACATATATGGCTTTTATGATTCAGAAGAAAGTTTGAAGACATAAATATGTGATACAATTATGAAAAATGCCATTTTAAAACTTAGGAGAAAAATCATGCAAAGTGAAAAAAATTTTTTTCAATGATACTGAAAAAGCAAAGTATACTGAACATATCTTTAGAGTCTTTTTGACACAGTCACTTCAAAAAAAGTCAAAGTTGGGCTGGGGATGTGGCTCAAGCGGTAGCGCGCTTGCCTGGCATGCGTGCGGCCCGGGTTCGATCCTCAGCACCACATACAAAACAAAGATGTTGTATTCACCGAAAATTAAAAAAAAAAAAAAATTTTTTTAAAAAAAGTGAAAGTTATTTTGAATATTAAAACATTTTGCTAATGCATAGGTCCAGTGCCTCCTTTTATCAGAATAAAGAATTCTTATGAAATTGTATATTTTGTGTGTTGAAAATGCACTCAATTTTGGCTTGAACTTTATAATCTCTTCTCACTATCCTATATTCTTAATATTAGGTCAGAAATTATTCAGTGATTTTGGGCCCAAAACAAGATGCATTCTTGAAGAAAGACCTCATTTGTAAAAGTTGTGAACTATCCAAACAAAGCCCCAATTGTAAACATTAAAGCTCAATAATGATTTATTTTTTGTTAGAGATAAGCATTTAAGAAATTAGATTTTTTTATTTCATTGCACTTAGATCAAAAACTAGTTTTTCAAGATACTTAATGGGTTTTATGGTCTTAAGTAAAACAACTGACATGAAAAGTAGGATACTTAAGAGAAAAAAATATACCTTTAGCTGTCATTAGAATAGAGAATAATGATTTGGAGTTAGTGGTGTGGAAAAATGGTATCTAGTAGAGTGCTGCCCACCCAGAGGTGCTCAGTGGTAACAGGTAATGGTGAAAGTGTGGAAGCTAAAATACTGCTCTGCAAGGAAGCAGACTTAATCCTATGTAAATGTTAGACTTAACATTTTTTTTAAATACAACAATCAGTCTGAGGAGGAAAAAAATGGATATATGTCTAGCTTGAAGACTACAAATCCTAAGTAGAATTTCTTTCTTTTCTGAAATATATGTTTAGATGGGGAAAAGTCAGTTTAACCTCAGTTGATTTGGCTCAAGAAATAAAGCCATATATTCCCAGATGAAAAATAAATTTTTTTCAAAATCTGCCTTAAATTTTAGGTTGTTAATCACATTTTAAATGCATCAAAAGGGATAATATTTAAATGAATTGTCCTGGATGACAATGTCTAACTGAGTTTTGGCCAAATTTTGTCTAACAAATTCTCTTAAAGTAGAAGATATATGCCATTCAGTCAACCTCTTGATTATTGTGCTAATACAAAAGTCAGTGTAGAAAAGCCAGCAGGGTGTTAAAGAATTCTGATCTTACTGTCTTTCTGGTTACAGATTTTTCTGAATTAACACTAAATGTTAGCCTGGAAGAAAGGATACCCTTTACTAACATGGTTACCTGCAGCCTGGTGCATTTTAAGTGAAGTGAGCTGAGGTGGTCCTCCATAAGGTATTTAAATTCACTTTTTGTTCTCTTTATTAAGTACTTTATGTTTTAGTTATTTCTACATTGTAAATGTTGATTTAATACATTAGGAATATGAATAATTTATCAGTAATCACATATAAGGCTTACCAGATGTTACTTCCTTCCTACCTTCTATTTAGTCAACTTACTAAGTCAGTTCAATTCTAAAACCACCAAAATGAAAATTTTTTTCTTTTGGAGTTTTTGCATTTTAAATCTGAATAGTAGAGGGGGCTGCTGTTGCAGCCCAGTGGTAGAGTGCTAGCCTAGCATGTGTGAGGAGGCACTGGGTTCCATCCTTGGCACCACATAAAAAAAAAAAAAAATACAAATAAATAAAATAAAGGTATTGTGTCCATCTACAACTAAAAAAAAAAAATTAAAAACAAATCTGTATAGTAGAGTTGAATTTCAAAACCACCTATAGGGGGCTGATGTTGTGGCTCAGGGGTAGAACGCTAGGATGTGCGAGGCCCTAGGTTCGATCCTCATAAAATAAATAAATAAATAAATAAATAAATAAATAAATAAATAAATAGATAAATAAATAACCACCTCATAAAAATAAATAAATAAATAAACACCACATAAAAATAAATAAAAGCAAAGGTATAGTGTCTAACTACAACTAAAAAAAAGAAAAAGAAAAAAAAACACCTATGGGGGAGAAAAATCCTAAATAAACATACTATTTATAATGAAACTAAAGTTTTGTTAAAAAATAATTTCATCTCAGCCCAATTATAGGACTAAGTCTCAGACATGAACACCCTTTAAAAATCTTTTGATTTCAGATAGTGTTAACCAAAAAAAAATTTTTTTTAATTAATGGAATAATATTTTTTGCTATCTTTATGTTTCAGAAACAAAATTAAGAAGAATCAAATAATGAATAAAATGTTCCTAAATAAATGAAGATTAATTTTAGCAAACTTAAAAATACAAAGGACTGGGGCTGGGGATGTGGCTCAAGCGGTAACGCTCTCGCCTGGCATGCGCGGGGCGCTGGGTTCAATCCTCAGCACCACATAAAAAAATATTAAGATGTTGTGTCTACTGAAAACTGAAAAATAAATATGAAAAAATTCTCTCTCTCTTCTCTTTAAAAAAAAAATAATAATAATACAATGGACCTTAATGTTTTTAAAATACACCTTGTTACTTAACAGTTAAATGTTTCTTTTAAATATACTTTTTATATTCTGAAACATTTCTTTGAAGTAGCTTATTGATTAAAATAAATCTAGTATGAGAAATTTACCTCTGTAAAATTTGTGTGCTCATTTATTGGTGCCCACCTAATGCTTTTTCCTGGTTGGCTAATGGATCTATAATCTAAAAGGATTATTGTATGTAGAGTGATGCTATCCATTACATAGGACAGTGCTGAGATGGTAGTCATTTGTACAGTTAAGTAGTATTTCTATTTTATATGTTTTACATAAAATGAAAAAAGTCACAAAACTATGCTGTGATCTCTTTTGTAAAGTGAGAGTGTGTGCATAATATAAGCAGAATATTAATGCTGACTTTGGGGGTGAGGTTATAGGTAATTTTTTATTTTATGCTTATTTTTATTTTCTAATTTTTAAATTTCAGCATACACCAAAAAGAGTGGGGGGAAAAGGTAATTATAACAAATCCAGAAAACAGACATGAACAAACTTCCAAAGCAGAAATAGGAGGACCATCCTGAAGATTTCTCTATGAAAGACGAAGCTCCAAAATTGGTGATCTTGTCTCAACTCTGGCTCCTGAGGAGCAGCATTAACAGCAGGGCAGCAATGAGTGTGCAGAGGGTGCAGACTGTGGGGACCACGATCTCCGAGACCATGTGCATGTGACTGAGCAAAGGCTCTGAAATGGGACAGAGAACAACCACCAGGTGAGCTGCGTCCCAGAAGCTTTAAGTATACTGGAAAAACTTGAGAAATGACATCAAGTTTTCTAATTCTCATTTTGTAGAAAAGGGAACCTAGTAAACTCAATGTTATTTAAAAATTAGGGGTTTGGGGATGTGGCTCAGTGGTAGTGTACTTGAGTAACATGCATAAGCCCTGGGTTTAATCCCCAGCACCACATGCACACACACACAAGTTATGTGAGAGTTTATAAAATATTTCAGAGAATATGGGATTGCCTAAATTTGGATTTTTCTACAGGTAGTATAATAAAGGCTAAGTGTATCGTTACTTAATGCTTACCATGTATCTCTCTCAAGATTATTAACAGCCATGTTTTACAGTTCCCATAATTTTTCATTGGAGAGACTTATGAAAGAAAAATTGAGAAACATTTCCAAACTTTCAAGCATGTTATTATGTATCTTATGGGAATTCCCATATTAAAATATCATATGGTGATTCTTGCATAGTTTGATCTTTAAGAATTAAATGATGAGCCTGTTTCTTGTACATTGATATAATAGTGAATATTTCTGTAATACCCTTTTTTAATTTTTCTGCTAGGCATTCTGATTACTGAGATAAATAAAGCACAGACTCTGTTCTTATAGAGTTCATAGGCTTTTAAGCAAATTCTGTGTTACGAATACATTGTTTATTTCAGTTTAATGGAATATACATCCTTAGTATTGTCTCTGTTATTTAGATATGGGAAGGTTTATACATAGTGATATACTGGCTCTTAAAAATGTTGGCTTCAAAGAGTTTGCTTTAGTACTTTCTACATTGAATACCACATTAAAGATAAGTTTATTGCTGCGCACAGTGGCACATGCCTGTAATCCAGCAATGTGGGAGACTGAGGCAGGAGTATCACAAGTTCAAGGCCAACCTGGGCAACTTAATAAGACCCTGGGGGTGTAGCTCAGTGGTAAAGCATTGCTAGGTTCAATCCCCAGTATGGGGAGGAAAAATGAGTCTAGTAAAACAGTATATTTCTCTGAGTGTCCCTATGGAGAGAAAAAAAATTCAAAGAGGTGAAACGTGTTGCCATTTCTTGATACACATTTGCATCTTGGTTATTCTATAGCTTGGATCCATTTAGATCCCATTTCATAAGAAATGATGCCTTCTGTGAGGGTAGGGACCTAGTTTTATTCATTGCTGTATCCCCAGGGCTTAAAATAACTCATAGTTAATAGTGAATGATTAATAATTATTTGCTGAATGAATGAGTACAAGAGCTAAAGTATTCTTGACCTTTTCTTCATTCCTGTAGGTATAATGGTTAACTTTTCCCTTCCTTCTATAAGCCCACTTTAACAAAAATGGTAGGTATATAAATTTACAATGTGGTTCAGAAAGAATAAAATTTCAGTAGTTGAAACATTACTCTTTAATGGTAGTTTTTTTTAATATTTATAATGCTTCTGAGATAGAAATTTGACATTGCTTCAAAGTAAAGAAAAAATTCAATCAAATCATAAGTGGTTTGGGAAGATTGACTTCAGGTAGATCTACAGTTTGAGAGTTTTGGTAATGTCATTATAGGTGTAATTATGTAATTTAATTATCAAAGAAAAGAATTAAAATATACTCACCTGCAGCAAGTAACTGGTTGTTTATAGAGCAAGTTTCCAAGGCTTCGAGGTGCCAACTTTCCACCTGATAAAAACCCACTTGGTAAGTAATGTCTTAGACTAACTACTTTTTGCTGTGTGAAATTATTTTTGGAGTAAATGTAGGGTATATAAATAAATATTTAAAAAATCCACTTGTAGTTTAAATTAGTTAATATTTATTGCACATCTATATGCATCATAGAGAGGGAATCAAAGAATAGATTATTTTTAAGGAGTGTGCAATCTTGTGCTTTTTTTCTCTTCCTCCCCTTCCTTCCCCTCCTGCCCTTCTTGCCCCTCCTGCCCTCCCTCCTCTCCTTCCCTCCCCTCCCTCCCTCCCTCCCTCCCTCCCTTCCTTCCCTCCTTCCTTTCTTTCCTTCCTTTTTTTTTTTTTTTAATTTGGTACTGGGGATTGAACCCAGAGACACTCTGCCACTGAGCTACATCAGTTCTTTTTAATTTTAGTTCGAGGCAGGATCTCACTAAGTTACCAGGGCTGGCCTTGAAACTCAAAATCCTCCTGTCTCAGTCTCCCAAGTAGCTAGGATTACAGGCGTGCACCACCACGACTAGAGTATTTTTCTAATAATATAAAAGTAGCAAATGCCTTATAACTGTTAGTCACCACTTTCATTTTTAGTCCCTCTGGCTCACCTTCAAAGAATTTTTAATTATCATTTATATTCCCTGCCAATAGGTGCATCAACATGTAATAGAGAGCTAAAATTGTAGATTATTGTAGATTATTAAATTTGTAGATCATTGATATGTTTGGTAGGTTTTAAAAGATTATAAAGTTTGATTACTTTTTTATCTCATTTTGGAGCCAGTATGTTTATAAGGCTTTCATATTTGATGGGAAAAGAAACGATAATAATGTCATTCTACATTTGATTTACTTCACTGATTTTTCATATTTTGAAGATTACATAGTATTTATTAGCATTAAGACAACATTTAACCAGAAGTCTCCATTGACTTTACCTGTTATAACCTAGAGCACATGGAACTCATGCACACCTCTAGTCATGTCCTTAATGCTTTGTTGTGAGTTAAATTTTGAGGCATGCTTCCTCTATTCTAAGCAAAGGAGCAAAGAGGTGGTGAGGGGAAGGAAAGACAGCCACGCTGCATACCTCTGTCCTCTTTGGAAAAAAGAGGGGAAGTGCTTGCCAAACTGCACCCCAGTGCTTAGCTTGTCTAAATCCAGAAGAAATAGTTAGTCTTACCTCTCTTGGATTGGGAAACCCATTTGCAGTGATAATCTTCTTGTAATATTGAACTGAAGCCTTAGGATAGCGAGGCTTATTTCTGACATTAAACTCAACATAGTAGAATCCATATCTATCTGTGTATCCTTTTTCCCATTCAAACTTATCCAACAGAGACCAGGAAGTATACCCTTTTATATTAGCACCATCTTTTATAGCTGAAAAGACATTTATTCCACTTTTAACATATTTCATTTACTTAAAAAATAATATTGTGAAGATAATATTAAAATGTTTTTATTTATGAGATTTAGAGACAAGTCATAGTTGATCATGTGTTATCAAATTTTGTTTAAGGTGCATAGAAAAATATGTGAAGACATTGTTGGTTTGTATCTCACCTTTTAGCATTTCATTTATGTATCCTTTAAGGTACTGAATTCTCCACTCATCACATAATTGTGTACAGTGTTCTTTTTGAGATGCTCCATTTTCTGTCACATATATGGGAGGATCGCCATATTGAGTCTGTAAGTGAGTCAGAGTAACATATCTTAAAAATTCTGACTTACAGGTAGATTTCTGGATCAGATACTCGTATAACAACATGTATTCAAGGCTACCAGATTGTAATCAAGTACATCTTAGCATGTACTGTCAGTTAACATGTTTATTTAGAGATGAATGTAGGCAAGAGGCGCATTAATGTGAAAGAATATATTTCTCAATAAATTGGCATTGTTGGAGGGAAAATGCACCTTGAGTCTTGTTCTTTCCTACATTTTCCATTTCAGGTGAGAAGGACAACAAAACACCTAAATGTGAGATAAGAATTTTTAGCTAAAATTGTATATGTTGAAGCAATTATTCATAAAAGGTATTGGTCTGCAAGGCCAATTCTCACAATCTGAAATATAGGTAATTGGATTTATTTTATTACCTTTCACATGTAGTCACCTGAGTTTAAGCTGTGAGAATATGAATTCAGGTCTAAAAGTTCTTTACAGAGCTTAATACAGTAAGTACCTGAGCAAAGTTAAGGAGCCTCCTAAATCCCCATGGCACTGAATAGAGCCAGTTAGATCCAAGATCTGGCCAGTTTGGATCAATAAGTTCTATTAAGTCACGGTCATTCTGGTAGCTGGGCCCCTGGCGGGAGGGGTAGTTCCTTTCAGTGATGTATCTTGTAGTAAAATGACCTAATCCCAGGAAATCAGATGTGCCTTTAATGTAGCTCTTCTCCTGGAGGGAGAACTCTGGTAATCTGGACATATCCAGGCCTTGCTCTTCACTCTTTCTTCCTATTGAGAGAAAACAAGAAGATTTAACCAAGTCTTATATTCTCACAATCATCATTTTATTTTTATGTACCACTATGATAATGGCATGTGGACATAAAAGCTGGACTTCAGGATTCGTCTGCATGGAAAAATATGACCTTTGCCTTCCAAACTGGGATTTTAGCATCTGAATACTATCCAAAGGAATTTAAAGTTTTTATTGCTTAAAAGTAACAATTTCAGGGCCAAGGTTGTCGTTCAGTGGTAGAGCACTTGCCTAGCATGCGTGAAGCACTGGGTTTGATCCCTGGCATCACATAAAAATAAAAACAAATAAATAAAGGTATTGTGTCCATCTACAACTAAAAAAAAAATTTTTTTTAAGTAACAATTTCATGCTAGGGTTGTAGCTCAGTGGTGGAGCGCTTGCCTTGCACATATGAGGTCATGGATTTGATCCTCAGCACGACATAAAAATAAATAAAAATATTGTGCCCATCTACAACTAAAAAAAATATTTAAAATAACATTTTCATGGATTAGTTAAGTGGTATGTGGACAACTGGGTAGCTATCTGGAAAAATGTAGAGTTGGACTCCTGTATTATTCCTTACATCAAAAATTGGTAATTTTGACCTTTGGAAGGCCAGTGGTGGTATAGGACCAACATGGACATGTTCACACATTGTAGTTGGTAGTGTGAAGTGTGACAATCTCTGCATTGGGCAATTTTGTTCTTTCACAATTGTAAACTATTATGTCCTTTCACTAGCCAGTCCCCAAACTATTTATTCTATATTTTATTCACACATGTAAAAGGATGTATGTACAAGAATCTTCATTATAGATTGAGCAGCAAAAGACTGAAAATAACTGGGGATGAGGCTTAGTGGTGGAATGTTTGCCTGGCATACACGAGATGCTGGATTCTATCCCTGGCACCACAAAAAAGAGAGGAAGGAAGAGGAGAAAAAAAATTTTAATGAAATATTCGCCAGTACAACATGCAGCCATTAGAATGGAAGAGGCAGCACTTTATATATTAACATGAAAAGAATGCCAACAGATATGCATAAGTGGAAAAAAGATGCACGCTCAGTGTAGCATGTACTAATAAGTACATACTTTGGACAAACAGCAGTGATTTGGCTCCCATAGGCCCAGTCTATCATTGACAGTGTACTTCCCTCTGGAAGGATAGAAGAAGATGGAGGGAGGCTTGATTTTCACTTTGTATTTTTTTGTGCTTGAAAAAAATTTAAAATGTGTCCTTCTGTATAACCTTTGCAAATTTTTAAAAAATTATAAAGAAAAGCAACATTTTTGTTAGTTGATCTACAATATGACCATAAAAGCATTTCCAAAGAGGCTATTGGTTTAGATTAAGTGAATGAAAAGTTTGTATTATTAAATACCTTTAAAATATTAGCATGTTATTACCTTCAGTTATATTTAGTAACATGAAAAACTATAAGATACTGTTTCTATACTAATACAGTAGCTACTTGCTACATGTATATTAAAATATGACTAGATTCAGTCACACTGACGAATGATTTTTATTTTATTTTACTCTTAAGCTTAAATAGGCATCTATGGCCATAAGCATTACCTTTGTAGTAGACAGCACAGATGGAAAGCATATCCATCATCACAAAGTTATGGCAGACTGCACTGGCCTAGAGTTACTTTTTTACTTTTGTTCATGTTTATTAAGGTGTTTTTGTTTTGTTTTGTTTTGTTTTGTTTTGTTTTTGGTAGTGCTAAGAATTTTACCCAGGGCCTCATGCATGCCAGGCAAGACACTTTACCACTGAGCCTTTGACACTTTACCCCAGCCCAATAAAAGGTGATTCTCAAAAACCTGAAAGTAATTTGTAAACAAGATTTCCGGTATGGTGCTTTCATTACTAAAAATAAATAAATAAAATTGCCTATAGGGTCCTCCTCTCCACTCTGTACAAAACCCTGTTCCCGCTTGAATCATTACCAAATTGAAATTGATGAGGTCTGGAATTATTGGCCTTAAGACCAAACACTTCTCTGTAATGAATAATCTATTTGGCTTTTTAGTACAGTCCCCCTGTAGCACCTGCAATGTCTTCTCAGAGTCCTGAGAAAGCAAATGTACTGTGTGAATGATAGGGTGTTCTGCAGGGATACTGGCCCTGGTCCTGGCCCTGAGGGCTTTTTCCTTGAAATAATTATTAAGAGTTTGACTGTCTGTATATAAAGTATTACAGAACTAGTTATTGCCAAAAGATTGTGAGGTTACTTTGTCTAATCTGTTCATTTTCCAGAGTGAGAAAATAGATTCCCTATTTTTCGAGCCATTTTCCCTGGAATTTCCTGTTATGTGGGCAGTTAATAGCTTCCAAACTGAGGGCTGGGGATATAGCTCAGTAGTAGAGCACTTGCTTACCAGGCACAAGGCTGTGGGTTCAATCCCCAGCACCCCAAGGGAAAAAAAAAAAGAAGGGAAAAAAAAGAAAGAAAAGAAAAAGCTCTATAAGCTTTACTTGTCTTCATTTGATTCCCTGACACATTGGAAACCAGAGCTTTGAAAGTATTTCTCAAGCAGCACAAAGAACCAACAATTGAACCTATATCCGCTAACTGGATCTAGGCTGTCATCTACTTCATTGAAGATACAAGGGAGTAGAGCAGGCAGAGGAGACAGGACAGCATAACAGCAGAGGGCAGCCCAAAGACCTAGCATGGTTTTTCCTTTGTTCTGAATTCTCAATTCCAATTCTAGGGATTTGTTTGATGTTCCCCCCTCCCACCCTGCTACCTTCCAGCTCTCAAATAACTAGTTAATACTTTGGGACTGGGTTATCCCTTGAGTGCTTTGCCAAGCCCAGGTCCTCTTCTGTTCCCTGCTTTCTCCTCATTTCACTTGGACTCAGTAACTGTTGCTCCTGAGGTGACTTGGTGGCAACAAGTGGTAGAGATCCTTAAGTAAAATAAACCAGGCTCAGAAAGGTGAGTACTGCATTATCTCACTCAGATGTGGAGTATAAAAACTGGAACTCACAGAAGTTGACAGTAAACAGTGGTAACCAGAGGCTGGTGGAGGGTGGGATGGGGTAGGGTAGGGAGAAGTTGATCAAGGGGTACTGTTGCAGTTCCGTAGGAGTAAGAAGTTCTGGGGTTCTCTTGCACAGTTCAATAATGTACTCCCCTTCCCCCAAGTACTGAGAATTGAAACCAGGGAGTCTATACCACTAGTTACATCCCCAGCCCTTTTTATTTCATTTTTTATTTTGAGACAGGATTGATCTTAAACTTGTGATCCTCCTGCCTTAGCCTCCCAAATCACTATAACAGGTGTGCACCACTACCCCAGGATGTTCTATACTTTTCAAAAAGCTAGAAGAAAGGAGTTTATAAGTTTTCACCCTAAAGAAATTTTTTTTTTTTTTTTTTTTAATGCCAGGGATCTAAGCCAGGGCCTTGTGCATGCTAGGAAAGTGCTCTATTATTGGGCTTCATCCCCAGCCCTAGAAACGATAGTGTTCAAGGCAATAGATTTAACATGATTTAAACATTACAAAATATATACATGTATTTGAACATCACATGCTACCTGATAGATATGTATAATATTTGTTTTTATCAGTTAAAAATAAATTTAATTAAAAATATGAAAATATGACTTAGCTCACCAATATGGTCTTTCATGACTTCGGGATAGTCACCAGCATAAATGGGGTTGGCAAACCAGCCCAGGCAGAATTGTAGGTATCTCTCAGCAGCCTCTACATCCTTGGGGTTATTGATGTCCACAGGTTCCCCCCAGTCACAGTTCAGTGAAATCCCCACCAGACCTTAAAAGAAAAGGTGGGTAGGAAGTATGCATGACATGGCTCCTCTTGGCACCTGTGTTTCAGCTCCTTTGTGGGGTTCCAGCTCACCTTGCTGCTTGTTGCGCCACTTCTTCCTGTAAGAATGCCAGGCTTGGGCATGGGCCTGAAAGGAGCAGGAATTCACCATGGGTGCCTGACTCATCTATTTCTTTTCCCCCCTTTCAATCTGGGATGGTCTTTCCTTCCTAACTCCAAAAAGCTTAAGACCTAACATTTTTCTAAATCTAGCCCTGATTGTCCCAATCCACAGTCTCCCTCTGACTTCCAGAGGCACTTAAATTTCTATTTACTGACTGGCATAAACCACTTCATGTTGTCATTTATTATTTCTAAGATTGTTGCACAAATTCTTTGTTCCCGTTTGTCTATTGCAACTAGGCTGTACTTTCCTACAGGTACTCTGCAAGTTAGGACAACACCACATGGAACAATCAGGAAATGAAATGGGAAATGTACATCCAATTTTTTCTCCATATTCTCTACCAGGACCCTCTGGTCTGCTGTAAAGTCTATTTCAAAGGCTAGGTCAGTATCTAAGAGAGATTAAAGGTTATCCGGAACAGCGGTTCTTAAAGTATGGACCAAGAGCAGCATCATCGCCTGGAAATTTGATAAAAATGCAAACTCATGATCCTTACCCAGACCTACTGAATCAGAAGATCTGGGAGGGGGGCCCAGCAACCTTTTAATAAGGCTTTCATGTGATTCCCACACTTGCTGAAGTTTGAGGAGCAGAATTAACATCTAAAGGCTACAAAGTTGGGGATATTGCCTGTTACTCCCAGAGAACCCTTATTTATCAGTCTTCTCTCCCTATTTTGCCAGCCAGCAATAACTAGAAAACAATGAACTATAGAACTGTCTGATAATGTGGAACATCTCAAAAACAATATTAAATCACTTCTATTCAGCTTACTATCTTTTATAGATAAGAAGGCCTGAAGAGTGATCTCCATGTTATTAAAGATATCTTCAGAGCTCTGTCCTTTAAATATTCAGTTTAAGAAATCGTAAGTCAGATTTACGATTGGGATTGTGGCTCAGTGGTAGAGCACTTGCTTAGCATGTGTGAGACACTGGGTTGGATCCTCAGCACCACATAGACACAATACCTTTATTTATTTTTATCTACAATTAAAAAAAGTCTTTTTAAATCGTAAATCAAGCATAGAAAGAATGATGTTTGCCTCACCTTCAGCCCAGAACAGTGGAGTTGGCTGACTTCTGAAACCAGAAACCCAGTTAATTTTCTTCTCTAAGTTGTTCTTGTCAAGTATTTTTGTTAGTGTTGAAAAGCTAACACATCTACCTTCTTCAAAATGTCCATTGGACCTATCTCATCACCCGTTGAATCCCTTTTCTGCAGGCATCATCACTTGTATTTGAAGCTACGTCCTATGTATGATGTGACCTGATTTTCTCCCATTCTTCTCACAGCTTTCCTGTACTTGTAACTCATGGTTAGTCATCTTCTCTGAATGTCTCCTCCACTTTCTTGCCTAGAACACCACCTGGCTACCCTAAAGATCATAAGGCATTTTTTTCCCCACACCCCACATGCCTTTGGGCCTAGAAGAGGGCTGGTGTTTGCCAATGCTTCCAAACTATTTCCTTCCTCCTCCAAAAACATGCTGTTAAACAACTGATACTAACCTTTATTAACTGCTGTCTTTCACAATTTCCAGTTCTCATTCACTGAAGATTTTAGCCCTTAGCTCAGAATCATACACCCTTTTCCTCCCATCACCTATAGGTGACAAATTTCCACATGTACGTGCTTCACCCAGTTGGCTAGATCTTAAGCAGCAACTTTTACAGCATCTCAGGTCATAGCAGAGTGCTAGATGACAGGACACACTTTCCACAAAATCCTCACAGAATAGGAGTTGCTGTGGAATACGCTGAGGTGGAAGCCTAGCAGCAAAGGATCAAATTCAGCCCCAGACCCCTGGGCAGGCTGGCCTGGCACTGGGAGTCATCCCTCTACCTGGAACCCAGTCTGCACCCCAGAAAGACCCACCTCACCTTAATGATGTGGTGTGCCGCCTTGTACATGCCAGTGCCGTGCAGCTTCAGGCCTGGTGCATGGCGGCCCGTCTCATAGCCTTTTTCCACCATTGCCTGTGGGGACAGCAAGTAGGGACCACAGGACCTGTGACAAGTGGCAGGCAGCACTCTAGTTTTCCCACCTGGAGAAGGGCCCTTCTTACCCGAGGATCACTGAAAGTGATCCAATGCTTCACCCGGTCCCCAAAAGCCTCAAAGCACAGATCAGCATAGTCACTGAAGTAGCTGGTCATGCTCACGTTCTGCCACCCGCCATATTTGACCTGGAGCAGCTGCCAATGGAGAGAGAAGTCAGTGCCCTGAGATTTACTTCTGGAGCCAATTGGCCAAATGGGTAAGAGGAACAGGGGTGAATACAGCACAGAGAATGTTTAGAGATCCTTGTTCAGGGAGAGGTGAGCAAAGGTGCAGGGTGGTGGGCCCAGAGCTCTGACTGCAATAGCAGTAAGGAGCCACCTAACAATTTAAATATGAAGGGAAAGGCTGGGAATGCAGCTTGGTGGTATAGCACCTGCTCAGTGTGTGTGTTGGAGGGCTGGGTTCAATCCTCAGCACCTTTTTAAAAAAATGTGTGGGTAATAATTTAAGCCATCTAGCATACAAACGAGGGAGGGAGCAGGGAAAGTGAGACTTTGAAGGAACCTGACAGATTGGATATTTAAGAAAATTTGCCTAGGGAGAGGCCTGATACTGAAAAAAGCATTTAGAATATAAATTGTGAGGAAATGAGATATGGCTCCAGACATGCAGGCTCAGATGAGGATTTGAGGGCTGCATAGAATCAGAGACCTCCAAGAGTCTACAGTTCAGGTGGGTCTGCTTTCTTCAGCAGGGAGCCCTATCCCAGCTGAAGGCCTCTGCTCCTGCAGTAGGGTTTCCACAGATCAGTCCTGTTGTGATTACCTAGAGTTCTCTGGGAATAAGCCCCGATTCCCAATCACCTTCGCTCCCTATAATTGAAGTCTTCCAGGTCTGGCCCAAGCCACTCCTCCAACCTCTGACCTTTCTCCCCACTTTACCTGCTCCTCCAGCCCAGTCACCTGCCCAGTGCCTCACCCTCACACGGAGCTGCCTCCAGAGAGCCAGAATTCCCTTTCCTCTCACCTCCTGCTCGAAACCTTCTCCCCAGCACATGTATAAACTTGTTAAATACATCATGGTACCAAACCTGAATCAAAAGATATTTCTTGGACCAGAGGCATAGTTCGGTGGTAGAGCACTGGTCTAGCACATGTGAGGTCTTAGATTAAACTCTCGGCATCACAAAGAAAAAGTTTCTTAATACTTTTTTTTTTTTTAATTTTTTCATGCCAAATGTTTTGGGAAACACTGGGATTCACACTCTTCACTTACTATAAACTTCAACTAAAGCAGTGGATCCTCCCAGCCATGTGAGAAGGTGCTATGGTTTGAGTGTTTTTTGGTTCCCTAGAATTCATAAACTTAGTTCCCAGGGCAACAGGAAGGTGACTGAATCATAGGGCTCCCTCCTCATGAGTGGGATTGGGGGCCCTCATAAAATAACTTGAAGGTCATCCCCTTTGCCCTTCCACCTTCTGCCATGTGAGGACACAATTTTTTCCCTCCAAAGGATGTACCATCCGAGTGCCATCTTGGACCTTTGGGCACCTTGATCTTAGACTCCAGAACTCTGAGAAATATCTGTTCTTTATAAATTACCTAGTCTGTGGTATTCTATTACAATGGCACAAATGAACTAAGACCAAAAGAGATTTCTTCACTCAATCCTTTTAGTCCTAAGCCAGAGTCCAGACCCCAGACTCTGTCCTACCTTGGCCACCCTAGATCTTCCAAGCATACTCCTCCCCGCTGAACCTGCACCAGCCCTCACCTGTGGCAGATCCCAGTGGTACAAGGTCACAATGGGGGTGATGTTGCTCTTCAGAAGGGCATCAATTAAATCACTGTAGAATCTGATTCCCTTTTTGTTCACCTGCTCAGCTGTAGGTGAAATAAAGAGATAAAAGAGGACTCTACAACAAAGGCCCTGGGGCTTGCCTCCTATGGTGGACCTTGCTGGACCCTATGGCTTTCCCCAGACCTGAAGGCACCTGAGCCTCAGAGTGCTTTAGGAATGCCTGGGAGCCAGTGACCCACACACCTGTCAGACTGCTGCAGCCACAGCCAGGCTCCTGGGCTGGTTGTCCTTCCCAGGACTTTGTGGTGTCTCTGCACTTGGGCTGAGAAGGGGACTGTGCTCTAGCTCACCTCGGATGCCTGTGGGCAGGAGCCGGGGCCAAGACAGGGAGAATCGGTAGTGGCTGACGTTCATCTCCCTCAGCAGAGCGATGTCCTCCTGAGCAGATGGAGTATGAATGGGTACAGGGCTGGGTCACCTGGGGACCAGGTGGGGATCAAGGGGGAGGCAGGGGTCATGGAGCCCCTGGGCCAAGGCCCATTCCTGTCTGTAGCTCTCTATAGCTCCTCGTATAGTAGGGGTGAGGTCACCTGTTCCCTCTCCATGCCGGGGTGGCCGAGAATCAGGTGAAATGCAGGGTCTAAGGGCACTCTGAGAAGTCCACCAGATGACACTTCTTGAGGTGATGAATCCCTCAAGAAGCCAATGCAAGAAGAAAGTGGGTGCCAACAATGAGCTGGCCTGTCTCCTTCACTGGAAGCAAGTTCACAGGCAAGGATCAGGTTCAGGCAGCTGCAGGCTGGAGGCCCTGGACCAGGGCATCCGCCCTTAAGCCCCGCTCACCTGAACAGAGGGTCTGGTTGAGTGAGGTCACGTGCACCCCCCTCACTCACCTGGACCTTGTAGTAGCCATCACAGGCTGTGTCTGCGGTCTCATCCCCGAGCACCTTCCCCTTCCCGCTGTGTGTGAAGGCGTCCCAGATGCTGGGCCCTTTCCCGTCCTGGTCCCAGGCCCCCTCAGTCTGGTAGGCAGAACTGCCCACACCCCAGGAGAAACCTGTAGGTGGAGACCCCTGCTGGGCCCTGGGCCACCCAGTGCTTCACCTGAAGCCAGGACATCCTGCCTCTGGCCTCAGGGCAGGACCCCTCTATGGCCTGTCTCCCTGGGAGCAAGAGTGTATGGAGCAGTGGGAAGAAGATATAATAATTTAAAACATTTTTTTTGCACAATTTTAGCTCTGATTAGCATTTGTTGCCTTATTTTGGTAATTTTTTAAACAAATCTTTTAGGAACTTTTATTTTAGAATAATCATATGGAGGTGTGTTTCTCATCCTCCCCATCAGGAGTAAAAGCACCAGTCTCCTCAGCAAGTCACCTGAGGTGGGCAGGCCAACAGACAGATAGACAGTCAGAGGACAGACCAGCAGAGGAGTGGAGGGGACGTACCAGGTGGGAAGGTTCCGTAGTAGAAGGAGGCCTCTTCTGGGAAGCCATCCCTGGCCCCCAGCCTGGACACCAACAGTAGCACCCAACAGAGAGTGACAGCCTGCACTTGCTTCATGGCACTCGGCCCTCCTCCATACCTGGAAAAGGCACCTGTGGGGCCCATTCAGCCAGGCTGGGGCAAAGGTGGACAGGGGGGGATAGGAAGAGGTGGGGCACTTTGTCTGGACCCACCCCAGGGGCTGAGCTAGGCACTGGGCGCCACTCCTGAGTTCAACACTGAGCGGAAGACAGCGTTGGGCTTGGGGAGCTCTGGGTGGGCAAAGCCCAAACCAGCCCCTCCCTCTATGCTATCTGATGGGGGAGACCCAGCCATTACTCCTTGAGTGGCCACTAGCTGATGGGGAACCATCTCTGCTGAGGGGAAGCTCCAGGCTGGGGACATGAGATAACCCCAGTCCCTGCAGCCCTCCCACCTGCATACTCCCCTTCCTGGCAGGGGGATTATCCCTCCAGGACCCTCAGTCCCATCAGGAGAACTCCTTTCCACTCTGATGCCAGCCCAGCCGACTTACTTAGGATTGTCCTTGGTCCCTGACACCCCAGAGCAGCCGCTGATAGCCAGAGCTCCCTTGGACTAACCCCTGAGCCTGCACTGCCCCTGAGAGCAGAGCCCACAGTGCAGAAGGCTCTGGCTGGGGGTGTGGTCTGTGGCCTGACCCCCTACAAAGAACTTCAATAGCCCCAGGGGGAGGAGACAACAGGAGTGCTGAGCTGGCCTGAGTCAGCAGTGGCCTTGGCCCTGGGCCCTGGGATCCAGCTGGCCCCTTCCAGGGTAGAGGGGCAACAAGGTTGGGATGGTCCCCAGTCCTCCTGGCCCACCCAGGACCACCTTCCAGTGCCACCTTCAGCACATCTTAGTCCTGCACGTCCTGGGTCGGGGGGTGGGGTGGGACCAGCACCTTGGTGCCTGTCTCAGTCTCTCTGCTACCACAGAAAGTCCCTATAGAAGGTAAAGGTGAGTTTTCCACTTCAGCCTCCTCTCTTTCGACTTGCCATCCATTCCTTCCCTCACTCATCCAACCAGCTGCTGCTGGAACATGGTGGGCAGGGGGCCAGGGCTACCACTAGGGCTTCCTTCCTCCAGTACCTTCTCAGTCAAGTCCTCCTCCTCTTGCAGCACCCTTGCTCCACTTCCAGCCACCCTGCCTCAGCTGAGACCCCCGTATGACTCTCTCTTGTGGGCAGGTCTCACCCCTGTGTGGGATCATTTCTTTCTTTTCCTCCCTTTATGGATGGGCAGCACCTCCTCCAGGAAGCCCTCCTGGACCTGCTTCCTGAGGCCAGATTGGGCATTCCTGTTTCCATCCCTGCAGCCCTGCCCTTCCCTGGCAGTGGGCTAAGTGCTGGTCTGTCCCTGCTGCCTCCTTGAAGGTTCCTGGGAGGCAGGGGTGTGCCAGCCTGGTCCACCTAGAGCCCCCAGTGCCCCTCACGCTGGTGCTCCGTAGTGTGAGATGAATCTAAATAATATAAGAATTATTCTAAAAACAGCCAATTCTCCCCCAAAAGTCAGGCAGGCAATTAGAAGCAGCTTCACCTTGTGGGTTAGGGTCTCTCCTGGACCTGACCAGCAGCCAGCCTCAGGTGGGCCCATTCTGAGGTTGTTCCAGCTCTGTGCCCATTTTCAGGTGGAAGAAACTAGAAAGCTAGCTCCTCCACCACTGCCTGCCTGAGCTCCTAAGGGATTGGCCAGAGGTGTGCCAAGGAGGTGGGTGCCTGGACACCAGGGGAGGGGACCAACTGAGGTCTGGTGCTGGCTCCTCTGGGCTTCCACTGGCAAAGCCTGTAGTGAGGGGACTGAGGTCTTGCCCCAAGTTTGGAGGTTCTCCATCCAGCTTCATGGGGGCAGGAATGCTTTTTGGAGTGGTGCTGGGCTGGGCCCCTGAGCAAAAATTTCCTGCCCATCGCTACCCCCACCCCAACAAGCACATCCTTCCCTCCACAGACATTTCCAGCAGCTTCGGGCCTACTGGGGAATGGATGGGGGGGGGCGGTTGTAAACACTGTACAGGGGGATGGGGCAGAAATGGAAATGCGGCACCCTGGGAAGCTGGGGGTGGGGCTGGCATCATAAGGGACTGGAAGGAGTTGGAGGTGGTTACCATGGTGACCGACAGAGCAGAAGCAGCTGCCCCAGGTGTGTTTGGAGACCTGGGTGGTTGGTAGCTTCCCTCCTCTTGCTCCTGTTGTGCAGTGCCGTGTCCACAGGGTCAAGTGGGCTACAGGCCACCTCTTACTGGTGCCTCAGGCCCACACATGCCAGTGCAGGCCCTGGGCACTCTGTGCTCTGGACTGAGGGCTGCAAGAAATACAAAACTTGAAGGATTGATGTCATCTCTGAAAAATGCCTCTTCCCAGGAGCCCAGTCCCCGTGTTTGTGTGGGAGGAGGCTGGTCAGCCCAGCTTGGCAGGGTGACTCAGGGTTTGTGTAGAACCCAGTTTCCACAGTTCTGATGCCCTGTTCTCTCCCAGGGCCTCCAAATCTGGCTCTGGCTAGAAGGAAGGTGAGCCTCCCACCTCCTTCCCTTCCATGCACACACTCCAGCGGCTGCCCCGGCTCTGCTTGAAGCCAGGATCTCCCAGTACCTGGGCCAGGGCAGGATCCTTCCCTGGGTGGGGGCCCGAAGTCCCTGGCATCAGGTACTGGATGACAAACAAGGTGTGTTAGGGGACAGATGAATGGCACTTAGTCTCTGCAGTCTTCTTCCCCCTCATGCCTGCAAGGGCCATGGAGTTGGGGACCCCTCGTAATAGACGTGTATGTCCAAGATGTAGCCTGAGTTCTGTAACTCTGAGGATGGACTTAGTAAAAGCAAAGGGTGTGGTCTTCAGTCCTGGGTGGCACCGTGGTACCCCAGGCATTGGGGCAAGGTGGGATGGGTGCTGGAAGAGGCACAGTTGAAATCTGACAGC